GAGATCGTGATTTCATGCTACAATCGAGGCGTTGGTTAACAAAGCTTGGGGAATAAGGAAAATATTTATCCCTGGTTGGTGATTGGGTTCGATCTACATCAATGGGATTATTGATGGTGCCAACTTCTTCAACCTTTGGTGAGGGAGACCAAGCACGAGAGGAAGGAAATTCAGGATCAAACCATTGAACAAGATGAGGCGAAGGAGAATTAGTCCATGGCATGATTGGACCGGGAATATAGGCTGGGCTAGGCGAGTGACCAATATACGACGTATTATCGGAATATTGTGGGCTGGTAGCACGGGAATAATTGTCGTAAGACGGTTGGTAATGATATTCAGGAGCGCATTTGTCGTCCAAACAGTACATGGTTGCGATACCTTCGGAAAAGTTGATGTACGGGTTGTGCTTGGATAGCCAGTTGTAACCTAAAACGATGGTATTTTCAAGATTCGGAATGGCTATGAGGGTTACTTCTTCAGTATGGTCCGTGCCAAAAAGATTCATGATGATAGTGGTGTTTTTATGGCTTGTAACTTTGGTTCCTTCAGCGCATGTAATAACTGTGTCGCGAATATCTTCCATGTCAAAGTTATAGTATTCAGCAAATTCTTTGTTAATAAATGAAGCCGATGCACCAGAGTCAACCAAGGCATAAGTAGCGAATGGGTCATTGGGTCGATCAATTGCGACGGGAAGGACAAAGCTTCGAAGAGCAACACTTCCAATTTTGTTGGATGGCATAGGAACAGTGGAGTTGGTTCTATGGTCTAAGCAAGTGGTGCGAACAGGGCCATAAACGTCACCTATATTTTTTTAATTGTTTATGTTATTCAGGTAGTGTTGGACGGGTTCGTTGTTAGGCTTTACGATGGTACTTGTCATGGATTGCAGTTGATAATGTACCGGGGTTTCTTGTTTGGACATGAATTGGCAAAATGAGTGTTACCTCCACAATAGCTACATAGATTGTTTTTTCTTCTGCGCTCTTTCTCTTGTGGGGTCAAAGGGCCACGAAATTTGTTTGTGGTGTTGGTTGTGGCTGCATGCATGGAGCCTAATTCCATGGGAGTGGCAGCGGACGAAGTAGGAGTCGAATGCCAGGATTTATTTTTGGTTCGTTGGTTGGACATTTCGATTGGGACTGGAATGATTAACTCGCTGATGATGTCGGTTTGTATTGTTAATTGCTTTTAGGACAGTGAGGACGTTGTCAATGCTAATAGCCTTGTTAATAAGTTTATCCAATTATGTGAACGGTTCACATCTGGCGAGTTCTTCTCGGATAGTGGATTTTAAGTTCAAAATGAACTGCGAAATTAAAGCGTGAGGACCCCATTTAAGTAGCATAGATAGTCTTCTAAAATCCGTAGCGTAAATGGAAACAGCTGATGTTTGTTTAAGAGCACGAATAGCAGTGTCGGCTGTGACGGTCGGGTTGGAGTCACCAAAAGCATTGGTGATTGTTTCTTGAAAGATGGAATAATTTCTCAACACATCATGTTGGGTTTCGACTGGTGAATTTACTTGAGCCAAATATGGTTCCATGTAAGCAAAGGCCTTGCCAGAAAGATGAGAGATGGCGAAAAGAATTTTCTCACGATCAGTTTTGAATTTTACTTGATCTACTGCAAAGCAAATGGAAAGCTGGGCAAAGAATGAATTACAGTGGGTAGCTTTGCCGTAAAACGTTTGAGGGTCTCTAACTTTAATTCGGGATATTGTAGAAGCCGTTGCGGTAGGATTGGATTCGGTAGGAGTAGATGCGTTGGCATCAGGATTGGGAGCATTAGCAGCAGTCTTGAATACAAGATTGTTGTTAATGAAGCTGTAGACTTCAGCTTGGACAGAAGAAAGTTGTTGTTGGGTTTGCTCTATAAGGCCAAGAACGTTGTTTTCTAGTGTCTCTCTAGCGGTGGTGTTATCCTGTTGGATGCTTGATAAATTTAAATTTATTTGTTCCAACTGGTGAGGGAGTGATTCTTGAAGAGCGTTGAAGCGGTTCATTAAATCTTCTAAGATTTGGAGATACTCAGGTGATAAGGACATGTGGTACAGAGAAAGATGTACAAAAACGAGGAAGAAGAGGGTACAGAAGACGAGATACGAGGAACGAGGTACGAGATACTAGGTACGAGAAACGAGGTACGAGAAAAGAGACAAAAAAGTAAGAGTAAAGAGGTTCTTTTTTGGATCTGATATAGTGTCAGGAATTAGCCGGATGTTACTAGGGACGAGGACAGGTCTCTTTATACTTACAAGGCAAGGCTAGGTACTAGGTAGGACTATACGTTTTGCGGGAAGACAGACAAGAAAAGGTATTAAAGCTAAGTTTATATAATAATAATAAGTTATACAACATATCAGATAAAGATCTGTACTTGTCTAAATAATCTAAGGTATTTATAATAAAATGAAGATAGTCTTAAGGACTATCTTCTTAACGTGAAGGGTCTGGAGTTAAGGCCTTGGGGAAGGTCTTGAGGCGAGGTACTGTGGCGGGATCATGGGACGAGGGTGGTGGCGGATGTTGGTTTGGTCTTGAGGCGTGGTCCCATGGTGATGACTCGTGATCGGCCTCATGGTGGTGTCTGATGGTTTGTTCACATGAGCTGTCAAATATGATCTGCATACACATGCAGATCTATGCGGGGGTGTATGCATGCGCGTATGCATTAAGGTATTGACCACGAGGTTCATGACAGTAACCTGTTAAGGTTTTCGTATTTTGTGTAATGACATCACATAATGATTCATAGGGAGACTTTCCAAACATTTTTATTTTTCTGTTTTTTGTTATTATTAAGTTATGGATCCGGTTAACAGCGCTTCATAGGAAATATAGAAGCTATTATCACTATTATAAGATGTTAAACCCTTTTTTTTCATAACCTTTACTGAACCATTTTTATTCTAAACATGTAACCCATTTTTGAGTCTACCACATTTTCGTTTAAGACAATGCTGCTCTAATGGTGTCATTGCTTTGGAGTCTGGTTCTAGTATTGGTGTATTGAACAGAGCCATAAACAAAATAAATCAAGATAACCTGTTCAATTAGTAGGCCTGTGAGGAGTGGATCGGGCCAAGAGCAGAACAGAATAATTATTAGGGTGAGAACAAAAGAAACAGACATTATATATCTATTAGTATTAATACATATATAAAAAGGAATGAAGGTAGAAAAAGGTTTATTCAGAGGAGCAAGAAAAATAGATAAGATCTTGAATACAGAAATAAGAATAAATAAACATGCTGTTATTTATCTTTATTGACAGATTGGGTAAACAAAGGTTGGGGTGATCAGATTAACAAAGACAGACTATTAGTCATAGGCCGTTCCCAAGCAAAACTTTTTTTACGTTTTCGGAACAAAAGTATTTAGCTCAAAATAGTAATTTAAACTATAAAAAACATTTTACCAGCCAAAATTTATGAGTGGTTGGGCAATTTACAAATTAGTAATTTATACCCTCGCAGGTGGGGGCTATAAATTACAAAAAAGTAAAAACAAGTGTGACATGACTTAAAATAATATTTTTAATTACTAAACTAGCATGTCTTATTTACTGGTTGTATATGGGTAACATTGCTATCCTCAGTATACTAAAATTATAAGCTAGTACTTATACTGGGGGGACCAAACCTTTTTACAAATCGAGCGATTTGTTTTTGAAAATAACGTTTGCTTGGGAACGGCCATATTTAGTTTGGGACATCTTTGGGGTAGCGGGAATGAACACAGATAATTTCGCAGATAGATACAGAGGATAACATGAGCTGATATTATTAATGTTTTATAAGGGAGTTCAAAGGCAGAGGTACCAAAGAAACGCATGTTAAATGGTTTTACAAGCACAAGGGACAACGGGGATACATTATATGGAACACAGGCGTTAGACAGGATACAATAGTGATGTTTGACAGTGACATGTGTGACAGGAGACAGAGAACAGGGAACAGGTGGAACAGGAACAATGGGCTAGTTGGGTTTCAATAATGGTCTGAGACATTTTGCATGACTATATGCAACTGAAACATAGGCGGTTCATTACAGTCCTCTAACTATCAACCGGCGGGCTGACCGATCGTCTTTCAGTTTTCGACCGGCAGGTTGACCGTTCGTAAATTATTTTTTGACCGGTCGGTTGACTGGTCGATGTTTAATTGCTAAAACGTGGCTGTAGTGTTCGTTATTTCAAAATATATGGAGCTTTTACAAAAACTACAATAGCAAAAGGTCAATTATTGTGTCCAAGGCCTATTTGTATATTGAGCTGAAAATTTGATGGCTAAAAAAATAAACCCATTTTCAATTTTTTTTTACGCAATCTCTGCCATGAACTTAACATAATCATACTCCTGATTATTATTCCGCCTATTTACGTGTGCAAAGAATGTCCAAAAAAACAGAAGTTTACTATTTTGGTTGCCATGGAATCTCCTGTAAACTCTTACCCAACATAATAATTGCCTGTGTTGAAGTTACGCAACTCCTTGTAAAGTATATCACTACAGGTGTCTACTTCTAATGTTGTATTTTGAACGAATTATAAATAACCTGACTAAGTATTTCGATACCATGTCTTATATACCAAATAATGCAATACGAATCATTTATCATGGAAGACAATTAATATAACGTGTCCGTAAGCATGAACCTGATAAACTTTTTGCTCTTTTTTAATTAAAATTTTATACCCCAAAAAACGTTTTGCTACAGATTTCTGACAGACGAACGATTGTAACATTGATTTGAAACATAAGCAATTAGTTTAAATATTAGTTATAAAAACGTTTTACTGATAGTTATCAAACATTATTAGTGCTAAAATATTAAAGCGGGGGAGTATAGGGAAAGCCCGTCGTTTGAAAGAAACAAAAAGAGCAGACAGTAATTTTTTAACACCCGACTTCGATCCAATATAAGGCTATAAGATGACAACGAAATGCTTCTAATTTAAACATCCCACCCGTCTTTTGAAACGTAAAGCAATGAATGCTTATCGGTTTTTTTCTTACCATTTTGTGCGTATACAATGATGGTAGAATAGACATAAAACAGCTATTTCTGATAGTAAAGTAACGATAGTATTTAATATAGCTCTCGGCTACTATTAAAAGAAGAACGCGAAAAAGTAAAACGGAAGAATTGGACTTTTGAACCTACATACAAAAAGTCGCTTTCCGACAGGTACGCGATTGAATCCAAAATGCATATTGGAAGGTGGTGATGGACGTCAAATTTCTTTAACTCTCACCCTTTTTATTGTTCGACATCAAACACAAAAAAAGCATAAATAACTAAATTAAACAACGTGCATATTAGTATCAAAAGCGAATGTAAGTACAAGGTAAACCAATCATCTTGTAACAGATAACCAATTATTTTTGTTAGATCCAGAAAACCATGCCATCTTATTAGTCAAGGTTTGAGAATGTGAAGCATTCAAGTACCAACCGAAGAAGGTGAGCTCTTTTTTTATTTTAAAAATGTATATATATTACGATGTACATAATCAGAACAATCTACGGCCTTGCCAATTGGTAGGAGACCGATGGCAGTGCCAATGAAAAGAATTGCCGGAGAAAACCAAGACGGTAGCTTTTCCGGTAAGAAAAAAAAAATTGTACGCCACCAACCCGTACGTCGATGACGAGGCTTCGTTTTAAAATGAAACTAAAAAATCCGATGAAACCAATGTGGTCACACCAGTACAGGTGCCTACCAGCTCTGCAAAGGAGGCTGATGCAATTGTAAAGCCCACAATGGCGATTAGACAAAACATGTCTGTCTTAAATTAGGAACTTCGACTTAAGGCGATTAGAGTATTAACAATGCCTACTCTGACCTAAACTACCCAGCACGAAGATACAGACAAGTTTTTAAAAGACATCTTCTTTTATTTTAATGCCGCTCAGACATACTATGTGTTGCGAAAGTGTATCCAATATGTTGGATGCTATCACTTTTTCTGTTTCTTGAAAGAGTCACAATTACAAGGCAAATGATTACACAAGAAACACATGCAAAAAATTAAAGGTAAAACATACATGGCCTATTGCATACTTTAAAAATTTAACCTTCTTTCAATAGACGGTCAACATAGTAAGTACCAGACCAAACTATTAAAAGCTGCTGGTAAAAGACTCCATGTCTTGTTCAAGGAGTTTAAGTACCGGGCTCTTGCTATTGTAATTCCTTACTCCGTTGCAGCCTTTGAACGATGGAGCAGGGAGAAATTCAAGAAGTTCATTAGTATTATCAAGCAGGATAAGGCCTTAACCAGGGAACTACAATATCTTCAGCTTCGCTCCACTTTCTTGGACAAAACTGGAGAATTACACTACATATATTATAAAGACAGAGACTACATTTATTGCAATGATATTCAAAATAATAAAGAAGTTCATTTTTGCTACTTGGCTTTCATTCAAGGTCGTAGTGTTTCATTGACCCTAATTGTGACAAAATGAAATATTTATACGAAAGACCAGTATTTTATTTTAAATTTTCTTCCTTTCTTATCAATAACAAGAGTCGCGGCTCTTTACAAGGTAACCCACAAGCAAAACGTAGTAATGTAGTGTGAGAGACTAACGCGGTGAATCGTTCTATTAGAGTGCCAAGACCTATAAGAAGGAATCAGTACGACATTCTTCTTCCATGTATAGAGTCATCAGTTTGGGTAGATAAATTGAAGTCAGCAAAGACAGAGTCAAGTGATAGACAAGGAACACAAACCCCGAGCTTCTTCAAAAATGAGTCAAGCTAAACAAAAAAAAAAGAGAGAATGTATCATGGTGGCCTGTTCATAGTAAGTGCATTGATTGATAGCCAAATAAAGTAGATTCTTTATGAAGGGGGTTTTACTTTAAACAGTAATGATAGATTCATTTTGTTTACACAGAAGGATGATGAACAAGTGAAGAATAATATTGAACAATGAAAGAAAAATTCAGTGGGGTATAGTAAAGGGAACAACGCTAGCAGTAAAACGATGTATCAAATATTGACCGAGAAGCTGATATTTTTAATACAGGTCTTGGTGCAATTTGTAAAGATGAACGTATGCTACTATCGTGTATGTCATGATAAATAGGATGAAGGCGTATTGGCTTTAAACACGAAGCATAAAATGCATTTTAAACGGAGGAAAACAGAAACAAGAGCATGACACGTCTTTTCTATGTTAAAAAAAAAGTTAAGGCTAAATAAAGATATAAGTCTTTGAAAGGAACAAAGGACAGGTGTATAAAGTGGAAAATAAATGACAAGTCTATGTATTCTTTTTCATTTATTTTTATATTGATAGTTTAATTTATATCTAAAGGGCCATAAAATTTAGAACGTTAATGTAACATCTATGACTGATAAAAGGTGTATGAGAGACATGTCGGTATGTAAAGAAGGAACAAACGAAAGAAGTAGTAAAGAATGTAAATTGAAAGTGGTGTATGCGCACGGGCGCAAGCAAAATCAATGGCCAGCAGAAAATCTCCGCACACGTCATCTATCCCCCCGGTTCTTTCTTTTTTTTATTCTTTTCTTTCATCTGCCACATTATTCAAATATTCACGTATCCTTTAAAATAACTATCTACACCCTTTGTACTGCCAGATATGGCATAAGAAAACAGCCTTATGTGTAAAGGAGGAATCTAGTGATGGGACGGGGTTTTTTAGGTCTGCGTCCTTTATTATAAGTTCTGATGCGCCACGGTGTAAAATCTGATGTGAAAAAAACGTAAAGGTAAAAAGAGAAACATTTAAAAGAGGCACGTTTGAACACGTTTTTCACCAACACTCTCTACAGCCATACCGCCCTAGCAAGAAAATACAGTTGCGAAAGAACACCCATGCCATTTTTATAATTATAACACCCAAGAAAAAGGACTCTTATTTCCTTGTTCTTTCTTTCATCCATCTACTTTACAAGGACCTTTTTTACCACTATAAAAGAATAACACTGCATGTAGTCTTCAATATCATGAAAAGAAAACACTACCTTCTTTCTCTGTGCTGTCTTATCCATACATTGTTGAGTTCATAGCTTGAGGAAGAATCTTTTTTCAATCACTCAAAAATAAACAAAACCGATGTAAACCGACTGTACTATGGCTTCATTTGTGGTTAGGTTTATCGCTCTCTTACTCCAGCAAAACAAAAAGAACTATTGCTACATTCTACTGTTGCACGGCTCTTTAATGTTTTTTAAAAAGAAGATGACCAGGAGGGATCTCTTTTTATTAGGTGTGCCTGTCTACATAGACAAGCAAAATGACTTTATGACTCGTGTATACAACACCAGCAACCTTTTGTATTATACCTGTGAAGAAGCAGCAAGTGAAACGCGTCGTGCATCGTCTCTTTTGTTTTGGCGGATTATTTAACAGTCTAGGTAATGCGCCAGCAATATTATTGAAATACTTGTACGTGTAACTTATTCATTTCTTGTAGAAGCAAAATTCAAAGCTTACAGTAACATCAACAACGGTTTGAAAATTGGAATAGGTTTCGAATCACACAAAAAAAATATAAATGACACACGAGCTAAGTAAAATATCAATGAATAAAGTAGAGAAAAAATTACTTTATATGTATATTAAATCTGAAAAATGACTATAATACCAATTAATACTTTCAAAAACCATACTGAATGACCACAAGCACATATATAGACTAAGTAACATCTCCAAATTAATCCTAAAATTTAAAAAGACGCTAACACGATTTCGTTTCAAGCGGAGAGAAATTGGAAAAAAGGACACGTAAGACAAAAATGAAAAAATATTTGTCGAATGACAAAGAATTTTTTTAACTACATATCAATAGTTTAATTATTCCTAGAATTGTTATCATTAATGGTAAAAACAACTAAGGAAAGAGTGACCAAAAAATCAGACAGTACATAGATGCACTACTGGTAATAGGTATGTAATATGTAAAGATTTTTTGCGGGGTCACTAAGAATTATATTGTCTCAAGCTATAAAGGGAGCTGCGAAATCAAATTACCCTGAAAAAAAGGTGATTAATGATTCGTGAAATTATTAGTTAACATTTTTTAACAAAATGATAGTCGAGTGTGAAACGACATATGTAAAGATCTAAAAGCATGAATACAGCTAGGGGCATTTTGAAAAATTCAGCGCACCGTTTAACCCAATACGAAAATCTTATCACAATGATTGATGATATAGCTTTGATAATGATTACCGATCTACACCAGTGAATAAATAAGTAAGAAATCTATTTTCCGCCAGTTTCAATAACTGGGGTAAATTTTTGAACTATCGTGACTGTGTCTAACGAGTGTTTCTACAAGAAATAAAAAAGATAAATCCAACGTTGAGAAAGAAATAGACGATTAATTAAGAACGGCCCAAAGTAGATAAGACATGAGTTTTCGCACAGAGACAAGAAGTAAAGATTGAATGGAATAGTTTAAACGAGCAGTAGAAATAATATACACTGCATACGGATCAATTGATGATTAATTAAAACCATATTGATAAAATTACGACGTAGAATAAGTAAAAAATGGCAATATCAGCAAAGTATATTTTATAGGACACTTTAAATGATCTCAAAATTTGAAACGGTTAATGTACCACGTTATGGATCTCTCCTACAATTATCAGAAGGAAATACGACAATGTGGTATCTATCCGAAAGAAACTATACAGAAAAAGAAAATTTGAGGTAGAGTTATAAAAATATTTCTTAGGAGTCGAAAAAAATGATGAAGACCTCGGGATAGTATCGCCACATTTGAAATAATCTACCGTAGCTATTTCAACAATTATATAAAGTCTAACACAAAACAAAATCTAGATAATCATGCAAAAATGGTAAACTCGTAGATTCATGTGTCAAATACCAAACAGTAAGTACCAACATAGAGATAAAGATATTTCTAACATTTATAACATATACTAGATCAAGTTCCTACAAAATAAGGTAAAGATTAAACTGCAATAAACGAAATACCCAAGAAAGAGTCACAAAATGAAATTGTTGGACGATATGTTTCTTTCTAAAACCTTTACTACAAATGTTGCTCGTCATAATTATAGTGTACGCCAGAGAATTATTTCACCAAGTACAACGAGCTTGCAATTATAATGAAGTAGTCCTGAAATCTTTATGGAACGCTTACTGAGTACGAAATAGTGTATTTATAAAACGTATACCTTAAATGATACATTCTGAAAAACGTTTTGTAATTACCAGCATATATTCGTGCAAAATTTAGAAAATATTCCATACATATTCATAAAGTGTATATGGTATATGGAATGATTAAAAAGACGTTATTGAGCAAAACTTCGTTATGACTACTACCGAAATTGGTGGATAGTCCGAATGGCTTTTGATGAGGATAGCGAGTATGTCCAATACGCAGAATATGACAAAAAACCCCATTGATACAGTATGGGACGAAACACTTTATAAAACACAAGTAAAAAAGTAACAACAAAAAATATTTTTTTGGCCGGTTGTAAATGATGGGACATTGGCTAATCGCTTATCCACAACATTCTATTAGTCCCCATTATGTTTGAGACGGCACGGGCGAAGATTGAGAACAAATCAATAGAAATGGGAAAGGTAAATAATTTTTTACATATAACTTTATGAAGAAACATTTATGGAAAGTCTTAATAAACTTATATATTTCTGGAGACTGTATAGCCATGCTAAGAATAGTCTATAATATGTAAATTAAACGCATGACTAGTCTTTTTATAAGCTAAGGCGGTAAAAAAGAATAAAGTGAAACAATATTATCAATTCAAAAACAATAAACACATCGCAAGAAATACGAACTATGATACTGCGTATTATACATAGTTATGAACAATATCAAATAACGGAAACAAGATATTTAGCATAACAATTGACAAGGATACGACAAAAGAAGTACCTTGTAGAATATTCAGTTTAACATAATTCATGAGATTCAAGAAGGAAAAAAAAGACGTATCCAAGTCGATAAAGTTGACATGTCACTATGGCACTCGAGAAAAATTAATTGCCAAGACGACACTGAAACCAAGTTACGCAAGTCACCAAAACGGCAAGATATCCAAGACAACGGTATAAATAAGACAACAATATAACTAAGAAAACAATGTAAATTAGGTAACCAGATAACTAAGACAACCATGTAACTATGACATCCAGGTAAGTAAGATCTCGAGGTAACTAAGGCAATCAGGTAACTAAGCCAATCACGTACGTAAGACAATAAGATATCTAGGACAACCAAATAACTATGACATTGAGATAACTGTGACAACCAGGTTTATAAAGCAGTCCAAAATATAGAAAAAAAGGTATCTAAGACAACGACGTAACCAGGACATTAAAAAAGCGAAAACAATACAATGCTTAAAACAAAATGAATAACGCCTCGTATCCAAGACAACGATATATCTATGGCAACAAGAACGTGATTAAGGAAACAAGATTACTAAGACGACAAAATAACCTAGAAGAAAAGATATCCAGGACAAACAGATATGTACGCAACCAGCTAACCTAGACAACATATTGTTATGGACAACAAGATAACTAGGATACAAGGTAGCAAAGACAACAAGGTATCTAACACAAATAGATATCCAAGACAAGGATATATCTGTGACAACGACGTATATAAGAAAACGATATATCAAGGATACCTAGATACGTAAGACCGCAAAGTTGTCAAGACAACAATGTAACTATTGTAACAAGGTATGTAAGACGCCAATGTGAATACGAAAACAACGCCATTCAAACAACATGATAAATACGACAACCAGACATCCTAGACAAAAGTATAGGTTACAGAAACAGATATCCAAGACAACAAGATTTCTAAGATACAAGGTAGTGAAGACAATACGATTCCTAAGACAACACCATCACTAAGACAAGGAGAGAACCAGCACGACGACGTAACTATAACAACTACATAGATAGCCAAGACAACAAGATTTATATAACAACAAGAAAGATATGACGACCAGATAGCTACAACAAGCAGATATGTTAGACTGTTAGATAACAAAAGCAACCTAGTAACTAAGGCAATAAGATATCTATGACAACAGGATATCTAAGGGCAGCAACAGATCTATGACAACAGGATACCCAAGGATACTATGTAACTAAGAAGTAACCAAGACAACTAGAAAACCATGACAGTATAAGTACCATGACTTTAAACTATAGCTATGGATATTATCGATCACTATGACAATATTTGAAAACCATGAAGATTAATGAACACTATGACGATTAATAATCACTATGACGAATAATGATCAATATGACTATTAATGATCACTATAACTATTAATGATCACTATGACTAATAATGATAGCAACCCCCGATGAAATCTGGAATGAAAAAAACGCACGGCTATCCTACGTGGAAAAATGAGCTCGTTTCAACGGTACTATTTTCGATCCATAGAAATGAAAAGTCATTGACTTATTTGGGTTTCAAAGTCATAAACTATGTACACTACATTATTTCTCAGCCTACGCCTACCAAAGCCAATACTGCCTGCCCATAGTAACCCCCGATGAAATCTGGAATGAAAAAAACGCTTGGCTATCCTACGTGTAAAAATGAGCTCGTTTCAACGGTACTATTTTCGATCCATAGAAATGAAAAGTCATTGACTTATTTGGGTTTCAAAGTCATAAACTATGTACACTACATTATTTCTCAGCCTACGCCTACCAAAGCCAATACTGCCTGCCCATAGCACCCCGAATGAAATGTGACAAATTTCCTCAAAAATAGCCAAAATTTGAGGATTTCCTAAAATGTATAACATGACCTCCCTTGGATTGGCTGAAATGTTGTTACACACGTTTAAAGTCAAAAATCCCGATTTTAAGCAGGGAAATGAAATTTAAATCGTTTTTAAAATAGATTTTAGAATTAACTTTAAAAATCCGGCTTAGTTACGCTCTGCGCGTTTGAACGGGCTTTCGAATGATACTAGTTTCAACGCCGTCGGACAATAATTGATTGGCTGAGAATGTTTTTAAAAATCCAAAAATGGACGAAATATTTCAAACTCCGCTTTTAACTTTTCTGATTTTTCTGCAAAAAAATAATTTTTTAAAAAATTGACTTTTTTGGAGAATCCTGTGTGATGATTGGCTGGACAACGGCAGGCATGAAAAGTACTAGTCTTGGATCGTTTCTAGTCGTACTCTAGGGTAAATTGTAAGGGATTGTGGTCTATTTTCATGATGAAATTGCAAAGTATTGTTCTATATAAAATTGCTTCTTGCTTTTTTGGTGTAAACTTATTTTACAAGGCAGGATTTATTCATCTGGCTGACCTCTAGCATTATTATAAAGAACAGCCCGGTTTTATTACAGACTGTAACTTTGTTATTTTAGCTCCAATATCGAGTGCCAATATATCTTTGGCAAATCCTCATCTTGTAGAAACAGAAACTATGGGTCCTGCTACTGTTTATGTCTAAAAAATAAGTAGAAATAAATAGTTTAGTTGCTTTTAGAAAAGTGTATCGCTTCTGTATTACAAATATTAGTGATTTTCAAAAAGCTATAATTGTAAAGTCTGATACTTCTTTAAGTGCAAATGTCAGCAAGAAAAAACTGTCGTCAATCGGTTCAACATACCCTAGAGTGTCCCTGTATCATTAACATGTAGGATAAAATTAGTTTAGACGAATTGTTATCAAGTTAATAGAATAAATTACAAAATACCAAGTGATTGCATGTATGATATATATTATAAATGGAAAATATCTGGAATTAATTTAGGACTTACCAGCTCTTCTTTGAGAGGAAATGGGAAGACATAGTCGAATATTAACGAAGTAAGGATGAAGACATTAAAAAGAAAAATAATACTTAAGGTCGTAACTGTTTGTCAACAATCAGTACTGATAAACAATTGGAATAGGTGTGAAATGATAAAGGAGCTTCTACACTGCATATGGCTTAGACGAAACAAGACTTTAGGCAGTTTCGAAAATACCTATTGATAAAGACATAAAAAAAAACAAAAAGTCAAATAATGTTCTCTGAAACTTTTAAAAGATTAACGCAGTTCACATCGGTTTAAGAAGACCATCTACGTTGATGATGCAAGTACTAAAACAAAATACGAAGCATACGTCCGAACCCGAATGATATTTGGAAAAAGTATCTTTTAAACAAAATGCAAAAAAATATTTTTCAAAAGTCGAAAAAAATTTACAACGACATGGGAATACTTTTAATAGAATTCTAATTGTCTGCGCTACGTACGCAAATTGTTAAAAAAAGTCTATATCATAAACCAGGTCAGATAAATGCAAGTCAGGTACGTAACCCCAGAAATACTTGTGTCTATTACAAAACACTTTGGACTTCTGTATTAACGGACCTTTTTATATCACTTATAGAGGCCTATATGGAAGCAATTCACTACATAGTACAATCAGAGAACAATGTTGAACGAGATAACTAGTAGTTGTCGTCAAAAATACCAAAGTTGTAAATGACTTTTTACTTGTAAAATACGGTTTTATAATAAGTACATATATCAAGTGTAGGATATGAAAGCCCATTTAAAGCTAGACGACACCTAAACAATCATTGTTGATAAAGTACTTCTTAATGGTTAAACCATAATTAAAAAAAGATTTAGCTAAATTTGATTGAACAGATAAAGTCGATGGGCAATACTTCAAACAATTGTAATACTTACTAAAGCAACTTTGATCTAAACGCGGAAAAGTATTGGCAAATAATAAAAAGGTAGCAACGACTTTATGAAGAACACGAACAGTTTGCGAAACATAGCATTTTTTAACACACCAACTAGAATTTGCTAATTAAAATAGTTTTGGCATCGTATAACAACTGTGTAAATTACACACTAGGTAACCAGAACATGAATGGACACAATAATGAAGAAAATACTTTATAAAATTTTTCAAAAACGGTAATATTGCCAATAAAAACTTTTGAAGGCAGTTTTGTAAGACCGCAACTGTCTACATATTTAAAATAACATTTCCTACATAACTCCTACAAGTTTTAGAGCAAAATATCAAGATTCCGTTTCTAGCCGAAAGAACTTGGAAAAAAGGACACAGAAGATAAAAAAAAAAAAAAATTTTCAAAAGTCGAAAACAATTTCGAAGGACTTGGGAATAGCTTTATTAGATCGAGAATAATTTTTTTTAATTGTAAAAACAATTAAAAAAAGTCCAGCCGGAAAACTGATCAGTTCGTAAGTAGACTTAAAGTAACAACGGATTTACCTGTGGAATGGAAATTTATTACGGAGTAGCTCAAAATTAAATAGTAGCAAGTTGAAAAGACAGCGGTTATAGGTAATATGCAGAACGGGAAAAACATTAAGCACATGCCATACTATTACCTGGTATGTTTTAATATAATGATCACCGATTATGAGTATACAAGTGAAAGACTTTAAACCATGAATAACAATGGAAATCCTTTAAAATCATTACACCACACCGTTTAACCAAATACAAAGACCTTGTGAGCATTTTTTATTAATAGGTCGGATGATGATCAACAAAAAATAAAAAGAATAAGACAATATATTTAATAGCTTACATAGTAGCCGGGGTATCTCAAGTATCTTCAGTAGTACTGGCGCATCTATGTACTAAATATAAGAAAGATGGAACAAACAACGAAAAGAAGTTCTGAAAGTATTAAAATAGTTAACAGTGGGTATGACATGACTCATAGCTCGAGCACAAGTAGTGATGGATTATTGTAAAACTTCAGAGAACAATAAAGATCACGTACAGTGCAAGCAGAATCAGTAGGTAATGCGTTGAATTGATATTGAACTGGAGATATCGTAGAATAAGTACAAAATGACAATAACATTAAACAACATTTTCGAAGATAATTTTAAATAACCGCAACAACAAAAACACTCAAAGAACACCTTCTATTTTGTTACAAAAGTTTCAAAACGAACCGCAAAATGTTTTATATATCAGAAAGAAATCGGACAAAAAAGAATATTTTAAGGAAAAATAAAAAGTCTTCTCAAAAGTCGAAAAAAATTTTTAATGACATGGGAATAATTTTAATGTGTTTGGAATAGGCAAATTTAGATAGGCTAATCGTTAAAAAAAGTCTAGCTGGATAAAAAGTGTACAAAAGGAAAAAATCAGGAAATAATATGTCCAAAGCTACTTTTATGCAATGACACCTTAATAAACTAGTCTGTCATTACTTTACACAGGTTTCCTCTGCTCTTAGAACGGAGCTACCAAAATAAAGACCAAAGCCGAAAGAGTTTTTAAATGATAAATCAGATAAAAGTAACGAAATATGTTTTAGATGTCGAGTATAGAAACAGCCTCTAATTTTATTGTGACAAACTCTCCAACATATAATAGAGTCTCGTTTCTTTACTTGCTTTAGTTTTTTATGACCTTTCCCTTTTTAATAGTCCATTATCTGATAATGTATTTGAATCAGTTATATTTCAACCAGGCATCATTACAGTATCAAGGAAGAGCAAAGTGGCAATAATCTTTGTTTAATGGTGTTCATCTACATTATACTACTCAAGATAGAAATTCCGCAAGTGAATCAAAGTGACTTGATATATAGACACGTTGCTATGATCGTCTAGCCTTTAAGAAGCATTTGTTGTTACCCCAACCAAGTTTGGAACCTCTTTGGAAATTATAGACGGGATACTCTACAAGTAGGAGTACCTTTGTCTTTTATATCTAATCCTGATGGCCAACATCATTCATCACAGCCCATTTACATCCTTTTCGCTTGCAAAACTTTAGTTGTACGCGTATACGACTTGTTAATAGCGTTTTAACGAATAAAAAAATAATTCCCTTGTGTTGACCAACCCTACCGAATCAAGTTCCATAAAAAAGTAAAGGGTCACTGACCGACTCTGACTAATGATGGGTAATTAAATATTTCGAAATATTTTTCTAACAAAATCTTTAGCAAAAAAAATTGGGAGAACCGCCTCAACCTCAGGAATACGTTGGTAGTAAAGATCACGCTTAAAAGCAGTTGTGTGAAAAGTGCAAAAAATGATGCCTGCCGGGGTCGAACTCCCAAACCCCTCTTTCAAAGACCGACGCTCTCCCCCCTAAGCTATAATTCTGGCGGAGTCTCATTTTAGCAGTGTAGTACAAGACACGACTAATATTATTGATACACGTGACTTTCACGTGACATACCATGCTATTTTACGCTCACGCCTAAAATACGTTCCCAACCTAAACGGATGCGTTAAACACGTGTTTTTATGCCATATAAACGTGCTTTGATCTGTTTTGCACTTGATTAACTGCGTGACGAGATGTATAGAGTAGACTGATTGACTAGGGGCTGTGATGAGTGAAAAATAAACTTGTAGCGACCAATAATCGATAAGACTTGTAAGTTTTGACTAAAACGAACAGTCGCAATTAGTCGGAGTTACTTTAGCATTATACGAAGACTGTTTCCATTACGCACGAGGTAAACAGAATTTGAAGGGACAAAATAATGAAGGAAATACTTTATAAAATATCTTAAAAAGAGCCAAACTGCCAATTAAAACTTTGAAGGACGATTTTGTATAACAACAGCTGCACGCCTAGTTAAAAAAACATCTTCTGCATGACTCCTGAAAGTTTCAACGCAAAATATCAAGATTCCGTTCCTAGCCGAAAGAAATTGGAAAAATGGACACGTAAGTCAAAATCAGAAAAATACTTTTCAAAACTCGAAAAAATTTTCTAAGGACATGGGAATACTTTTATTACGTTTAAATTTGTAATCTTTATGTCTACAATTGATTTAAAAAAGTCTAGTCGGCATAATTAACTGTTTATAAATGGAATTGACGTAATAAGTGAGTAACAGGAAGAGATTTGGGATGGAATGAATCAAAATAAAATAGTAGCAACCTGTAAAAAGAGTGATAATATGTAATCTGATGGAATAGAAGAAGACGAAGTTTACGTCAAACCATTACTTGGCATTTATTAATAAACTATTCACCAAGTATGGATCTACAGGTATCAAAAACCAAAAGCACAAATAACTGTTGAATTAGTTTTAAAATATTTGAGCCTAAGTCATAACTAAATTCGAGATCCTTGAGTTCTTTTTTTTTCATAGATAAGATGATGGATAAAAGGAATTACAAAAATTCAGACGATATATTTAGTGACTTACATCATAACAGAGGAATAATTAAAATAGATAATTAGTATCTAGCGCATCTATACACAGAATTGGAACATGATTGATTAAAAAACGAGAGAGAAGTTGCCAAAGTATTAGAAAACTCCAGCAGTGAATATGACATGACTTCTTGCTCGATGAGAACAATTGAAAAACAATCTCATAACTTAAGATAATACCGAACACAACTTAAACGGCAATCACCGTCTGCATATGACAAATAAAAACCGTATAGGATTAATTACTTTATAAACTAACCATAAAAGTTACAATATCACCAAATAATAAGTCTTTAGTCAACTTTACATGATCACAACATGGCAGGTAGTACTACAGAAATCTTCTAAGAACCTCCTCCAAGTTTTGAAGACAAACGACAAACAACAGGTCGCAAGCCGAAAAAAATAGTGAAGGCAGGATAATTCCAAAAAAATTTGTAAGAAGTCGAAAAAAATTTATAATGACTTGGGAGTTACTTTAATAAGATGGGAATACCCGAATTAAGGGATGGCTACAGTTAAAAAAAGTCTAGCCGAACAAAACGGTTAAAAAACTGAAAAAAAAGCATGAATTACTATGTCTAAAGACAGTTTTAGGCAATGGTATCTTCATAAATATGTCTGACATTCAATTGGAGGTGTGTAAGCTTATTATGGAGAGGATCTACAAGAATAAGGACCACAGCCGAAAGAAATACGAAAAAATAAATACTTAGGATAAAAGGACAAAAAAATAATATCAAAAGTCGAAATAATTTTAGAGGTTCTAAAAATCACAGTTAATGCCTTCAGGATAGTAAGTAGTATGTACCTAAAGGACAAAAAAAAGTTATTTATAAAAACGTTTTAATAGAATGACAAAGTCGTATAGTATTATAATGCGCAATAGTTTCAATGTTTCCCAACTAAAATAAATATTAATGCTGCATAGTCTTCATAGCAACCAATAATATTACAAGACAACTAAGATATTGTGGACAAGAAATAATTTAAGGCAATAGCGTTTCCAACAGGAGTAAAACCGCAAAAGGAAATAGTATTCGGCACGATATTGTAGTTTCCAATACGACAAGAAAACCAAGGTACAAAGTAACTTAGACAGCTAAGACGCGAATGAAACTAAAAAAGGCAGGACAACACGATATCATAGATACTAAAGAATCAAGACCACAAAAGCAACGAAGACAACACAATATCTAAGACCACATCGAACCATGGATACCAGAAGACTATAACAACGACTAAATGAAGACAACAAATATTAACCACACAATATAGTATCCAAGACATTGACATATTCAAAGCATCAAGGTATGTCACTCAACAAGACATATAAAACAACAAGGTATATAAGACAACTAGGTAAGTATAACAACCTGATATCTAGAACAACCAAATAAGTACGACAACTACATCTGTAGGACAACGACCTTACTAAGACAACATGATTTCTAGGACAACAAAATATGCAATACAACAAGATATCCAAGACAACAGGATATCCAAAACGAAATGATCTCCAGGACAACAGGAACTTTAAGATAAATATTTACCTAGACAACAAGATACGTAAGACATGAAAATAACTGTGACAACCATAGAACAAATACAACAAAGTAACTAAGACAACCAGGTAAGTTCAGCAACAACATAACTAAGGCAACACTGTTTCTAAAACAACAGGATATCTAGGTCAACATGATTTTAAGGATAACGTAATATCTAAGACAGTTTGATATCTATGACAACAAGTGATCTAGGATAAGATGATTTCTAAGACAACAGCTTATCGAAGACACAAGATATTACGGAGACCAATGTATCCAAGACAACCAGATGGTCAAGACAACTAGGTAGATAAGATAACATGATACCCAAGACAAGAAAATAAACAAGACAACAGTACCCAAGACAACAAAAAAAGCGAAGGCAACGAAATGTGGAAGACAACAATATCCAAGACAACGAAGTATGGAAGACAACAATATCCCAGCCAACAAAATTTTGATACCAAATAACCAAGAGAACAATATCCAAGACGACAATATACATACGACAAAAGGTTAACTAAGGCAACATGATAACTATGACAACAAGGTATTAAAGATGGCATGGTATCCAGGACTGCGATATTTCCAAGACAACAGGATATCTCAGACAACACGAAATCTAAGACACAAGGTATTCAAGACAACAAGATCACTCAGAAAGCAATGTATCCAAGACAACGCAAAATCGAAGACAACAAGGTTTTCAAGACAACAATGTATATAAGAAAAAAACGTATCTAAGACAACGGGAATTTCTATGGCAGCAAAAAGATCTATGACAACAGGAAAAAAAGATACGACAAACCTATTGCCAACGACAACCCTGTTGACTACGAAAACTAAGATGCCCCTGACAACCATGTTGCCCCTGACAATCATGTTGCCCCTGACAACCATGTTGCCCCTGACAATCATGTTGCCCCTGACAACCATGTTGCCCCTGACAACCCTGTTACCTACGACAAGGGGAGTCAGAGAAGAGAGTAAAGGAAGATAAGAAGAGAGTAAAGGAGAACAGATACCAGTTAGGGTTAGTATGTTGGTAGAAATCGTGACATTTTTTCTAGTTTCACTTTTCCGACGCAAAAAAATGCGCTGAACACGAAAATCATAACCCCGATTGGGAGACATTATTTCCCGATGAGATATCGCAGTTTAAAAAAGTTTACTTATGATTTTGGCTGTAAAAATAAATATAATCGGTATTAAAACAAAACAATACTAATTACTTTAACAATCTGACCGGTCCAAAGATGCTGTTTTTTCTGCTCCTTCGAATGGGACTAATTATAACGCTGAACAATAATTGGTTGTAGCTGTAGAGGACTTTGAATATTTGGGTTTTTACGCTGTAGGTCAATGTTCGATGCTGCGTTGAACAAAATAATTATAATTACATTAACAATCTGACCGGTCAACATTTGCGCCTGTGTTAGGGCTTTTTAATGGTACTAAATACAAAGCTCAATTATTACTGGCTGTTGCGCTAGAGGGGTTTGAATTTTGTTTATTTTTTGCAAAGCGGGTGTTTGATGATCCAGATTTAAACAATATTTTCATAATTACTTTAAAACTCTGACCGGTCCAAAGATGCGGTTTTAAACGCTCTTTCCAATGGTACTAATTATAACACTGAACAACGATTGGTTGTTGCTGTAGAGGAATTTGAATATTTGGGTTTTTACGCTGTAGGTCAATATTCGATCAGGCGTTAAACAAAATAATTACAATTGTGTCAGAAATCTGACCGGTCCAAACTTGCGCCTTTGTAAGGTCTTTATAATGGTACTAATTACAAAGCTCAACTATTACTGGCTGTTGCGCTAGAGGGGTTTGAATAGTGTACATTTTTTGCAAGGTGGTTTTTTGATTATCGGATTTTAAATAATATTTTTATAATTACTTTAGAAATCTGACCGGTCCAAAGTTGGGCCTTTTAAAGACCTTTCTAACGGTACTATTTTCAAAGCTGAAACATGATTGGTCGTTGAGGAAAAGCAGCTTTAAACAAGCGCTACGTGCACCACACCGCTTAAATTTGGCTTCACTGTATGTTTTTTCTTTGTCATTGTTTTTTTTCCCTCTGGACATCTACGGGCACCCCATTTTGTGACATATTACTGGTTTTACAAGTAATGACAGCCTTTTTGGAGTAAAGTTCCTTGTAGCCGAGGATTTGAAAATAAAAAGACAAAGTTGAAAAAATCCTCCAAGTCCGGTACGGATGCGTAATTGGTTAAAAAATGTGTCCTATAAGCTGTAGCGCATCTATAGAAAGCCAGTTATAAGTTACGTGCTCATATATTACGGCTAGCAGAACTTTTGAAAACTTTATGAGAAGGTTAAACTTTTTCTAATGCAGGGACAGTTGCAGAACAAGTATTAAAAGCATATTGTATGAGATTTAGCGCTACTTTTAAAGTAGTTATCAAGTCATTAAGAAGACCACCAAAATTAAGGGACATAAAGTTTTGTCAATAAACAATACAGATAAATAGGGGAAGGTTCTAGAATGATACAGGGAGTCTCGCCACTAAATACTGAACAGGAGGCACTAGAATTAACGCAGTATCGAACAAAATTATTCTTCAAACCTATAAAAAACGACAATATGACCAAGTAAAAGTTTTTCTGACACTGTTAAAGAATTTATACAATGAAGATAGTGTTTGAAACAACTTCTATGCTGGTGCAGCAAGTATGAGAACAGAATATCCAGACTTTGTCACCAAACGTACGCCAAACTATTATCTGGTATTTGTTATTACGTTGATCATCGATTATGAGTCTAAATGTGTAACGACTGTAAATCATGAATAACAATGGAAATCTTTTAAAAACATTATAGCACAACGTTTAACCAAATACAAACACTTTCTGATCATTTTTTAGTAGTTGGTCGGATGATGGTCAACTAAGAACTACAAAGTACAAGACGATATATTCAATGAATTACATAGCAACTAGGGTATCTCAAATACTTTCTGTAGCATTGGCGCATTTATGTACCAAATATAAGAAAGATGGATCAAAAAACGAGAAAGAAGTTGTGAAAGTATTAAAATAGTCGACAGTGGGTATTGTTGCAGCCAATAATAATGTGGCTTGTTGTTACACAGGATAGGATCTTTCCTATAAATACGCTTCCTTTTTTTCATTTCTTAATAAATATACTTTAGTTTTGTCTTCACCTAAATTTGGGATTTATCTTGTAATTGATACTAGTAGTATTTCCTCCGCTTTTTGTTGCTGTTTGTTGTCTATTGTAAATTATACAATCACATCATCTTCTTACATAAACCCGTCGTAAACTCTTTTATCTTTGACATCTAAGAACTATATTCTCTTCACATCTCACACTGTATTATTATCGATTTGCATTTTATTGTCTTATCCATATATTTTATCGTCTAAGATCACTACAGAAATACTCTTAATAAATAATAAAACTAAGTTGACAACTAAAATTCTGGTGCTCACTATCACAATTGTTATATAATAATAATTGTCCCTTTTTAAATCTAAATCCGTACTAGCGCTTTATCAGTATGACATAACTTATTGCTCGAGGACAAGAAGTGATGGATTACTGGCAAACTCTAGAGAACAATAAAGATTACGTACAGTGCAAACAGAATCAGAAGGTAATGCGTTGCATCGATATTGAACCAGAGACATCCTACAACAAGTAGAAAATGACAATAACATTAAATAACATTTTCGAAGATATTTTTAAATAACCGCAACACCAAAAACAATAAAAGTACACCTTCTATGTTCTTTACAAAAGTTTTAAAAGGAACCGCTAAACGTTTTATCTATCAGAAAGAAATTGGACAAAAAAGAATATTTTAAGGAAAAATAAAAAAGTCTTTCACAAAAGTCGAAAAAATTTTATTGAAATAAGAGTATACGAGTAGTATTGGCGGGATAAGGAGTATTTCTTTAAATAAAATAGAGTTTAGTAAAGAAGGTCTTTATAATTGCGAGTTGAGTGAGCACCACAGCTAGTTTAAACAGAAGCTGAACTGTTAGAAAATAAATGGATTTAAGTATAGCTTATATGCTTATAAATAAAAGATACAATGATAAAAGTGTAATCAAGGGATCAATCAGAATGATAATAGAGCTGAATAATATATAAAACTAATAAGTCAAAGTGTTGAAATATGAGTAAAATAATAGATGAGGATTTTTATTTAGGAGAGGTCTTATGGATGCCTATTTATAGTGATGGACGTATAATCCAGTCACTGAAATTAAAGAAATTGGGGAAATTTATACAAGAGATTGAGGTAATTGCGCCTACTAAGAGGTCACAGATCTGAGGATAAGAAAAAGATGAAAAGAAGTAGTTTTGACAGGTGCAAACCCGAAAAGGTGTATTGCACTTTAGTAGGTGTTTAAAAAGAAAGAAAAATTGGAAATGCGCTCGATTTGTCGCATAACATTATAATGACATGGGAATAATTTAAATGTGCTTGGAATAGGCGAATTTAGATATGCTAATAGTTGAAAAAAGTCTAGCTGGACAAAAAAGCGTACAAAAGGGAACAAATTATGATATAGTATGTCTAAAGACAGTTTTATTCAATGACACCTTGATAATTGTGTCAGTCATTACTTTGCACATATGTCAGCTGACTATGAGGAGTGACTATTAACGTATAGACCAGAGCCAAAAGAATTTTCAAAAGTAAATAAGTCAAATAAAAGTAACGAAATGTTTTTCAGATTTCGAGTATGGAAAGAGCCTTTCCTTTTATCGTGACAAACTCTCCAAGTTATAATAAAGCCTCATTTCTACACTTGCTGTAGTTTGTTATTACCTTTCCTTCTTTAATAGTCAATTATCTGATAATGTATTTTAATCAGTTATATTTCAACGAAGCATGATTATAGTATCAAGGAAGAACGAAGAAGCAATAATCTTTGTTTAACGGTGTTCATCTACATTATATTGCTCAAGATGAGAATTCCTGAAGTAAATGAAAGTGACTTGATATATAAACACCTTGCTATCATCTTCTAGCCTTTAATAAGCATTTGTTGTTACCGCAATCTAGTTTAGATGCTGTTTGGAAATTATAGACGGGATACTATACACGTAGGAGTACCGTTGTCTTTTATATCTATTCCTGATGGCAAGCATCATTTATCAGAGCCCGTTTTAATCCCTCTCGCTTGCAAAACTTTAGTTTTACGCGTATACGCATTGTTAACAACGAATTATCAATTAATAAAATAATCCCCTTGAGTTGACCAACCCTACCGAATCAAGTTCCATAAAAAAGTTGAAGGTCACTGACCGACTTTGACTAATGATGGGTAATCGAATATTCCGAAATATTTTTCTAACGAAATCTTTAGCAAAAAAATGTGGCAGAATCGCCTCGGCCTCAGGAATACGTTGGTAGGAAAGATGAAGCTCAAAAGCAGTTGTGTGAAAAGTGCAAAAAATGATGCCGGCCGGGGTCGAACTCCTAAACCCCGCTTTCAAAGACCGACGCTCTACCCCCTAGGCTATGATTCTGGCGGAGTCTCGTTTCAGCAGTGTCGTACAAGACACGCCTATTACTATTAATACACGTGACTTTCACGTGACATACCATGCTATTTTATTTTCACGCCTAAAATACGTTCCCAACCTAAACTGACCCGTTAAACACGTGTTTTTAGGCCATATAAACGTGCTTTGACCTGTTTTGCACTTGTTTAAATGCGTGACGAGATGTTGTCTCACGTAAGTACATGTTCAACTTGATGGAAGGCGTGTTGGATCTCTGTATGGACGTTTCATCTTGTGTTATACCATGATATAGACGCAAGGGAATGTTCAGGAAGATTCATATCTTTGGCAATGGTATATGCATTCTTTCTCTTCTTGCAGTAGCTATTATCACTACGCTACCTCCTCAGTATAGAGTAGACTGATTGACTAGGGACTGTGATGAGTGACAAATGAATTTGTAACGACCAATAATCGACAAGACTTGCAAATTTTGACTAAAACGAACAGTGACAATTATCCAGAGTTACTTTAAAAATATACGAAAACTTTTTCCATTACGCACGAGGTAAGCAGAATAGGAATGGACAAAATAACGAATGAAATACTTTATAAAATATCTCCAAAAGGGCAATATTGCGAATTAAAACTGTCAAAGATGGTTTTGTACGACCGGCACTACATCCATAGTCAAAGTAACATTTTCTTCAAGTCTCCTCAAAGTTTGAAAGCAAAATATAAAGATTCCGTTCCTAGCCGAAAGAACTTGGAAAAAAGGACGAATAAGACAAAAAGAGAAAAATTTATTTCAAAAGTCGAAAAAATTTTCTATGAACTCGTCGATAGTTTTATTATGTTCAGAATTGTTATCGCTAAGTGTACCAACATCTAAAAAAAGTCTATCGAGGAAAACAATCCGTACAGAATTAAAGCATTATTCATAAATGCGTTTAATGTAAATTTTTGGTACAGAGTCCTTCAATAGTATATAGTGGCAACCTACAAAGTGATTCGTAACAATAAAATGTCCACACCACGAGGAGATTACTTATACGCCCCACATCTACTTTGCATTTACTTATAAAATGATTATGTGTAGGAAGGTTAAAACGGTCAAAATAGGAATACTAACTGGACTCCTTTTGCGTCATTTCAGTTCATTTTTTACCCACAGTAAAATGCCCTGTGGTCAATCTTCATTAAATAGTTCGGATATAGATTGATAATAAATACAGAAAATCAAAAAATAGATTAAAAACCTATTGATTAACCGGTGAATACTGTAAATACATCAAGTGATGGCTATCGCATGTTTATGCAAAGTTCACAAAAGTTTAATCAAACATCGAGGAATTTGAGGGAGAAATAAAAAAAAACTCCTACCATAAGTATGACATGAGTCAATGCACAAAAACAGCAAGCTGAGGATTCTTGCAATAATGTAACGGAGCAATAGAGACTAGTTGCACTGCAAACAAGATCGGCAGATTCCGAATTGGAGCCATATTAAACTAAATACCTCACAGAATAAATAATAAAATGGACAAAGTTAATAAATTACATCGTTTAGGTCACTTTTAAACGACCGAAACATTAGAAACAGTTACAGCAGTAGTTTCTACATTTTTTATAAAAGTATGAAAAGGAAATACTGTAATGGGGTATCTAGCCGAATACGATTAAACAAAAAAAGAAAACTTGAGTAATCCTCGAAAAATATTTCTCAGAAGTCGAAAAAATTTTATAAAGACAGGGTAATAGTCTCAATGGATTGACAACAATCCGCGCTTGGTATTTAAATTGTTAAAAAAAGTCTGTATCATAAATCAGGACAGATGAACACAAATCAGTGACGTGACCCCAGAAATACTTGTGTCAAATGAAAAAATCTTTGGACTTCTATAGTAATAGACCTTCCTATCAATCTTTTAAAGACAGATATCCAAGCCAAATACCTAATATTATGAACAGAAAACAATGTTCGACTAGATAACCAGAGGTTGGGGCAAAAATCCGAAGGTGACGTTTCATTTGTACCATACGTTTATATAAGTCGTATTTATATTTAGTATACCATAGAATAACTCATTTTAAAATTACATATGACACATTGGTATCATTGTCAATAAAGTAGTTATTAAACTGTTAGAGGGTAATTAAAAAGACATAATAACATTTGATTGAATAGATGCAATTGATGGTTGAATACTTCAGATAGTTGACATACTTACTATAGCAACTTTAATCTAAACGTAGAAAAGTATCTGCAAGTAATAAAAAGGTACCAAAGAAATTATAAAGGGCACCAACAGTTTGTAAGACGTGGAATTATTTATCACAGCAACTAGAATATTCTAATTGTAATACTTTTGGCGTCGTAAAAGAACAATGTAAATTACACACGAGATAAGCAGACCATAAATAGACACAGTAACGAAGAAAACACTTTATAAAATATCTTGAAAAGAACAATAATTCCAATTAAAAATTTCGAAGACTTTTTTGAATAACCACAACAGCATGAATAGTTTAAATACGATGACCTCCATGACTCCTGCAAGTTTCACAAAGAAATATCAAAAACTCATTGCGAGCCGAAAGAAATTGAAAAAAAGGACCAATAAGACAAAATCAAAAAATTATTTTCAAAAGTGGAAATTTTTTTTAAGGACACTGTAATACCTTTTTTAAATCTAAAATAGTTATTTTGAATTGTACAAACGATTAAGAAAAGTCTAGCCAGAAAAATAATCCGTTTGTAAATGAACTAGAGGTGACAACTGAGTGATATGTGGCCATTTATTACGGAGTCAATCAAAATGAAATAGTAGCAACCTGTAAAGAGAGTAGTTACAGATAATATGCTGAAGAGGATGGAAATTAATTAAAAGCTAGACCATTACCTAATATTTTCTAATGAAATTATAATCGAGTATGAGACTACATGTGTAAAGAACCAAGAGCATGAATAATAGCTGAAGTCATTTTAGAACATTACAGCGCAACGTTTAATCTAATACGAAGACCTTGTAATTATTTTGGTAATTGGACGGATGAAAGTTAACAAGAAATACAAATTATAACACCATACATTAAAGACTTTCTTTATAACTGAGGAGTAATACAAACAGTCTAAGTAGTATCCGGCGCATCTTTGTCCAAAATAAAAGGAATTTTGATCAAACAACGACAAATAGGTTATCAAAGTATTACAATATCTCCAGCGGTCAATATGACATGATTCTTTACACGAAGACAAAAAGAGAAGAATTAATTTATAACTTAAGCGAATAATAAAGATTACTCGCACTGCAAATAACATCTGTAGTCGAAAAATAAAGACCGTATAGAATTAATTACTTTGTAAAATAACTCTTAAAATTAAAATATCACCAAATAATAAGTCCTAAGTGATCTTGAAACGACACCAACAAAGCAGGTATTATCAGACGTATCATGTAAGAAACTCCTCTAAGTTTGAAGACAAACGACAAACAATTGGTTGCAAGCCGAAAAAAATAGTGCAGGGAGGATAATTTAAAAAAAAAATTGTAAGAAGTCGAAAAAAATATATAATGACTTGGGAATTACTTTAATAAAATAAGAATTCACAAATGTACGTATGGGTATTGTTAAAAAAAGTCTAGCCGAACACAAAAAGATACAAAAGTGAAAAAACTCTAAATACTATGCCTAAAGACAGTTTTAGGCAATGGTATCTTAATAAATAAGTCTGCCATTTATTTAGAGGTGTGGAAGTTTATTACGGAGAGGATCTGCGAGAATAAGGAGCAGAGCCGAAAGAAATTAGAAACATTAAATACTTAAGATAAAAGGACAAAGAAAAATATCAAAAGTCCAAATAATTTTAGAACATCTAACAAACACTCTTAATATCTTCAGCATGGTATGTAGTATTTACCTAAACAACGAAAAAGGCTAGATATACAAAAGATTTGAGATAATGACAAAGTCGTATAGTATTATAATGACAATAGTTTCAATGGTTCCCAAGTATAGTTAATATTGAGGTTGCATACTCTACAAAGCTATAAATAATTCTTTAAAGACAAATAAGATACTGAGGACGAGAAATGGCGGCAACTAGATAAAATTATATCCACAAAATATTGTTGACAAGTAATAATTTAGGACAGCAGCGCCTCTAACACGATTTAAAACGAAGGACGTCTTAATATCCAACATGATATTGTTGTTTCTAAGACGACACAGCAACCAAGACACGAAGTAACGTGGACAACAAAGACGCGAATATAACAAATAATCAATTATACACGACATCATGCATACTCAATAGCCAAGGCAACCAAGAAGCGAATACAACCCAATACGGATGACAACAATATCCAAGCCAACAAAATTTTGATACCAAATAACTAAGCCAACAATATCCAAGACAACAAGATATTCCGGTTACCAAATGACCTAGACAATATGGTATCCTAGATACCAAATAACCAGGGCAATAAAGAAATATAGATGACATAATTTTGAAGACAACACAATTTCAGAACAACATGGTATCATGGAGACACTATTCCCAAGACAACGACTAAACGAAGACAGCAAAAAATAAGTTGGACAACAAAGAAACAAAGACAACGAAGTCTCCAAGACAACAAGAGGTCGAAGAAAACAAGGTAACTAAGACAACAATATGATCAACACACCATAATATGTAAGAAGACAACGAAATTAGGACAACATCGTGAGTAAGGCAACAGGGTATCCAAGACAACATGATATCTTTAACAAGTAGAAATATACGACAGCTAGATACGTTAGTCAGTGAGATATCTAAGGCAACCAAATCCAAGGCAACTAGGTATCTAAGAGGCTTCCTGATAAATATGCCGCCCAATATAAATTACTTTTTCTGAAAGCCCTGGAAATTCTGAACAAGAATATGCTAAAGAGAAAAAAATCGCACCGCAGGGTCTCGAGTAATTGGCTGTCAAAGTTTAAAATATGCTTGCTACGTGCACCTAAAAAATCTTAAAGCCTAAGCCTGGGCCATTTTTAGCCCTATTAAAAAAATTAAAAAAATGTAGAAATAAAACAAAACAGGTACTCGGGTGTCGAACATACACTCTCGTCGATGCATGCTGCTCGCTTTCCCTGTTCGGCCACGGAGGGCTTAAAGATTCACTGTTCAAATACTTTATATTAAATATTTTATTATCTCTCGGCAGAAATTGACCAAAACGTATAAGAGGCTTCCTGATAAATATGCCGCCCAATATAAATTACTTTTTCTGAAAGCCCTGGAAATTCTGAACAAGAATATGCTAAAGAGAAAAAAATCGCACCGCAGGGTCTCGAGTAATTGGCTGTCAAAGTTTAAAATATGCTTGCTACGTGCACCTAAAAAATCTTAAAGCCTAAGCCTGGGCCATTTTTAGCCCTATTAAAAAAATTAAAAAAATGTAGAAATAAAACAAAACAGGTACTCGGGTGTCGAACATACACTCTCGTCGATGCATGCTGCTCGCTTTCCCTGTTCGGCCACGGAGGGCTTAAAGATTCACTGTTCAAATACTTTATATTAAATATTTTATTATCTCTCGGCAGAAATTGACCAAAACGTATAAGAGGCTTCCTGATAAATATGCCGGCCAATATAAATTACTTTTTCTGAAAGCCCTGGAAATTCTGAACAAGAATATGCTAAAGAGAAAAAAATCGCACCGCAGGGTCTCGAGTAATTGGCTGTCAAAGTTTAAAATATGCTTGCTACGTGCACCTAAAAAATCTAAAGCCTAAGCCTGGGCCATTTTTAGCCCTATTAAAAAAATTAAAAAAATGTAGAAATAAAACAAAACAGGTACTCGGGTGTCGAACATACACTCTCGTCGATGCATGCTGCTCGCT